AAAAAAAAAAAAAAAAAAAAGGTTTTAGGTAAGTTTGTTTTTTATTTTGGAAACATTTAAAAAGGGGTTACATTTTTTATTCATTAAAAAATGGATAGAGTGATACATTTCAAAGGGTAAATATAATTTAAGGCAATTATTAAAAATCTTTTTAGCTTAAAAAAATTGTAAATGTAAGGAACACAAAAGACAGACACACTTCCAAAGCACAGCAGCAAGTCTTTACAGCACAATCTTGAAAGAGCTGTTGAGAAATTAAATATTAAGTCAGCGTATTAGAATGTGGTATATTCTCCATCTTTTTGAGTTGAATATAATAAGACTCACCTGACAAAGTCTGGAGATCTTGAAATGACATGCTGAAACTCTGATAGGTTTACCGTCCCATCCTTGTCGATGTCAGACTCTTCAAGGATCTAAAAAAGATGCAAAGGGAGACTAGTTTTAGGCTCCAATTGTGTTACAGTGTCTTAACATAGGCAAATGTAGTTTTAGTAACCCAGTTATGCACAATTGAAGAAACATGAACTCACATTGGTAATGAGCTGTTTCATTTCATCATCGTTCAGTCGTGTGTCCTCGCTCTCACCGGTCAGGCAGTTAACCAACTTCTTCAGGTCATCATAATCAAGGGTTCCATCATCGTCAAAGTCTAAAAAAAAAAACATGTTATTTAATTAAAACAACAAATAACTTGGCATCTTTCTTCATGAGATGTACAGAGATTTGGTTTTTATCCAAATCTATTTACCAAATATACGGAATGCATAGTGGGATTTGATTTCCAGAGTGGCAGAGTCGCTAAAAGCACTCAGAAGATCCAGGAAATCTTCAAACGTGAGGCTTCCATCTTTATTTTCAGAGGTGGAGAATACATGACAGATTCTTTCTTTGAAAGGGTTAGACTGTGAAGAGAACAAGTTCAAAGGTCATTGCTCACCACTACATGAAGACTGCTTTTATTATGCAATCTTAAAATATGAGGATAAGAATAAAGATGCTATGTATATTTAATATAGAAATTAAGTGACCTTCAGCTCTGGTAGTTCATTAATCCTTTCCATTGGTACCCTGGAGGTAGTATTGCTCCTCTCTTCTTTATTCTGTAGTTCTCTAAATTTCCTGTGCGCACTAATTTGAAGGAAAGCAGCAACAATTTAATCATCTTATATCTGTATGTTTACATTCACTTAAAAAAAAAGAACTTGTAACTTACAGGAGGATTTCCTGTTTTGTCAGAAATGTCAGCTCCTATAGAGAGAATAATCAATAATTTAGCAGGTAGCCTCTTCTCAAGTTTCCATATCCTAATATTGACTTTATCATTATAAGCATGATAAATCAACTCTAAGTGAATAATAATTATTATGTGAAATGAGGATCTCATTTTGATTTAATACTTTAAAACAGGGAGCCGATCATGGCTGCTACGTTCTTCCTGCTTTACGAGTCTGAAAACCAACTTTTTTTCTTTAGAAGTTTGTGGAGAACATTTACCTGGTATTCTGAAAGAGCCTCCTTGTCAAGATGACTAGCAGTAGTTCCCATCTTTAATTTTCCGAGCGAAAGTCGTGTTTTTGTCAGCCCTGACTGAACTAAAACAAGTTGTTTGTGATCGCTGGTCCTGCTTCCGGTTTCAGACAGGCTCACTGAGGCTGTGTTCGATTTCAGCGGCTGCGTCCTCCGAAGCCGGAAGAGTCAGACTATAGAATCACCGCCCCTCTGGTGTTAGGTCTGTCGCCTAGCAACTGTGACAGTTGACTGACAAAGTGGACAAAGAATCGATGCAGAACAACGCACTACTGTTCTGTGTGCTAATTACAATTTTGAGGAGCTTGAGCAGCATCATTATATTAGATGTATAGTTCTCACACTGCAGAATCTGTGCTTAAATATCAGAAATAAATAAAACTTACCAATAAACCAAATATTATCCGCAACATATCCGACTCACTAACCATTTAAATTAACTCATTTAATTAATTTAAGATGAAACTATTCGCAGTTACAGCATTCACCGCAGCACAATCTCGAAGTGACGTAGGAAGTGACGTAACTCACCAAACAGCTGTTGCTGCTGTACATTTTTTTTTTTATCAAAGAAAAGGTTATTTCCTATCGTTTTTTAGAATATTACTTGTGTTTGAATACAAATCAAAGGACTTATCATTATTATTAAAACAATACCAATATAGTATCCATTTTAGTTATGAGTTTTAAAAAGATAAAAGTGAAGTTTCTTATAATAAAATAAAAAAGAAACAATCTGATAAAGGCCTAAAATGAAGCGTGTGCACAGACAAATAGCTAAAACCTGGAGAAAATTAATTCCTTTTGTAAGCAAATCTGTACAGTTTAGTAGCCTATCTTTTTTTATTATTTCAGTTTATCTCTAAGCCAACCTACCTTAGAGAGACTTAGACTTAGACAGTACTTTACTGATCCCTTGGGAAGACTCCCTCCGGAAATTAAGGTTACCAGCAGCTTACAGGACAAAAAGGTATTATGTTAAATTAAGTTAAAATTAAGTTTAACTGAGTTTCATATTGTGTACAATGCCAAATTTTAAAATACTTGAATATTTTTTTTTATATAATATCAATACTATAGTTCAGATGATTCCATATTGCTGCATTAAGTTAAATATTTAAGTTTTTTTAACTTCTACATAAGTCAAGTCAAATATATTAAAGTTTAAAAAAAAAACTCTTGACTGATTAGTGAAACTCAACGAAACTACTGTGGACGCAAAGAAGAAGGAGAAACCAAAATCAGTTTAATACATAAATACATTTTCTATTCTAGATTCATTTAGCTTGTTCACTTTTATATTACTATTGTTTTCAGTTGTATGCACTGGCTGGCAGAGACATTTTTGGGACAGGTGCTCAGGTTGGAAAGGGGCACCTTATACAGTATGTCACATGAAGCCGCAAACAGCCAAACACCGTCTTAATGCCTATGGGTCTATAGGTAGCAATCCTACATTGGTGTCTTCATTTGAGTGGGTTTATATGACAATTTCCAGATGAACTAAGATTTAAAATATACAAAAAACTCATTCTTTTAACTTAAATCAAGTGCATGAAATGGAATAATCTTATTTTAAGGTTAAAAAATCTAATTCCACTGACAGATCATCTTATTTCCCTGTTCAGATTTGGGACCAATACAGTTATTTCCAGAAGATTTGACATATTTTCAGCTCATTTTTTTTTTGCAGTCCAAAATGTCTTTCATTAAACACAGAAATTGAAAATGCAGCTTAATCTGAAGCCCCACTTTCACTGAAGAGAACCTTATTAATCTTATTTTTCCCTTATTTGGCTTTATGTTTGCTTTAAAATGAAATGTTTAAAAGACAAAAGATAACTTGTGTGCTGTAGTTGTAATTTAAAAAAGAGTCACATAAAGTCACATAGATGTCATCAGGGAGTCCCTGACAGGAACTACTACAGCAAATCAATAATGGAAAGGTTACACTACATTTTTCTTTCAATTCACCAACTGAAGCATATACTTTGATTCCGAACAGACTGATGTTTTTAATCCTTTATATCCAACAATTATAAAACACTTAGGATAAAAATATTACCACAGACCAATAGAAAGTATGTTTAATATGTGCGGAAAGGTTACTTTTAAAACGTACATTTAATCTTAAAAACAAGCTTAATTGTAACACATTTAAAAAATAAGGAGTACATTTTCTTTCTGTAAATGGCCTACAAACATTTTCCACTAGTAAAATTCCTTATACAAATACTTAAATCTAAGCGAAGGAAGACGAAAATCATCCAGAAATCTAAAGCACACTTTATGTAATCAGGTTTTAGCAGTTGGTTGAAAAGCTAAGCTCCTTGGTTTGTCTCCCAGTCTGTTGTTCCTGAAATGAAAAATATCAAAACATTAAATTATATCACTGCCGGTAAAGTGTTAAAAAATTGGATTGAATGATAGTTTGTTTTATGTTGGTGAGGTTTTACCTGTCATTTTTGTTCCTTCTTTTGTCTCAGCTGAAACCCCGATGCCGTATTCATTTTCACCAGTCACTCTAAAGTAGTAGATCTTCCCCTCTTCAAGATCAGACACCTTATAGGACAGTCGCCAGCATTTGTCTGTGAGTCTTGTCCAACCTTTCCTACTAATTTCTTGAATATCTACCAGGTAGTTCTTTACAGGGCCTCCTCCTTCATTCTCTGGGATGTCCCAGGTAACAGTGGCAGAATTCTTAGTCACATCCTTGACTGTTATGTTGGTCGGAGGACCTGGGGAATCCAAAACCCTTACATTCAGGGTTAAGGTTGCAGATCCAGCCGTGTTTTGAAGTCTGACCGTGTATTTCCCAGAATCATCACGTGTTGCTTGCTCAACTGTGATGGATGTAATGAAGTTACTGGTGTGGATCAGCCCCCTGAGCCTTAGATCAACATCTGCTTTTTCCCATGATACATTAGGAGCTGGTTTGCCTGTGTAAGGCACTGTCAAGGTAAAGGAGCTGCCATCTTTAACAAGCAGAGTCTTTCTCATTTCAGGGCTAAGGGTGAACCTGGGTTCCTCCTCCCTCTCCATGACAAGTCCAGGGTCTGTTTCAGGACTGGGCTCGCTCATCCCAATCTTATTTAAAGATCTCACAATAAAGACATACTCTGCCCCAGTTGTAAGTCCAGTCACAGTAAACTCTGTCGTGTCTTTACTTTGAACGCCCACAGCCCACTCCTCCTCTTCTGGTTTTCTAAATTCAACTTTGTATCCAGTAATTGGTGCTCCACCGTCAAACAGTGGCTTGTTCCAGGACAGGGTGATGGAGGACTTGGATGAATCAACTATAGTAGGCTTTGCTGGAGGGGATGGTGGAAATTTAGGATCCTCTGCCAAGGCCAGAGGAGATGGTGAACTGGGATCACTTAGACCAGCAGCATTCTCAGCGAATACTCTAAATTCATACTCACATCCCTCATGCAGACCAGAGGCTTTGACTCTTAGATCATAGACTGTTTTTTTGTTCACTTTTACCCAGCGGACACCATGCTTTTCCCTTTTCTCTACAATATAACCACTGATACGGCTACCACCATCAGAGGCAGGCCTCTTCCAGGTGACAGTCATAGATTCACTGGTAGCACTGGTAACTTCAACATCAGTTGGAGGAGATGGGGTAGTGAAGGGATCCATTGCTCTTATTGGCTCACTTTCCAAAATCTCACCCTCCCCATATTTGTTTACTGCTCTCACTCTAAAAAGGTATTCGTTTCCTTTGAGTAACTTCGTTATTTTGCAAGTCGTTGCCATCATGTCATCATAAACAAGGGTCCAAGAAACACGGCTGGTTTCACATTTTTCAACAATGTAGTGCGAGATATCTGCACCACCATTCTCATGTGGAGGTCCCCAGGACAAGGTGCACTTCTCTGCTGATAGTCCAGACACTTCCAGAGGTCCAGCAGGAGGGCCTGGTTTGTCTAGCACCTTGCAGGTCACAACCCTGGATGTGATACCACCTGTGTTCTGCAAGGTCAGAGTATACTGTCCAGAGTCTTTCCTAACACTCTCTCTAATTAGAAGAGAGGTTTGGCACTTTGTAGCTAATATCTCAACCCTTCCCTTGGTGCTAAGGTTTCTTCCATTTTTTAACCAAAACACAGTGGGGTTAGGGCGGCCAGAAATTTCAGCCTCTATTTTAAGGTGGTCTCCTGCTTTGACCACCATTACCTGTTTAAATTTGTCATCCAAAACAATAACTGGTGGCTCTACATCATGCTGCACTGTAATAGGTCCAGTGGATTCAGAGGGAGCACTAAAACACTCTGCTGCGTTCTTTGCAGTAACACGAAATTCATATTGAGCACCCTCTGTAAGTTCAGTTACTTCCATAAAGGTGTCCATTAAGTTTGTAAAGTTGCACTTCAGCCAGCAGCCATCTGGCAGTTCTTTGCGCTCAATGATGTAACCTGTTATTTTAGCACCCCCGTCATAGTTTGGTTTATTCCAGGAGAGTGAAACTGAGGTGTTGGTTACATTTGTCACTGTGAGGTTTGAAGGAGCATCACACTGGTCTCTTGCTATGACCGGCTCGGAGGGCTTACCACAGGGTCCAACACCAGCCAAATTCTCAGCACAGACCCGAAACTCATAGATCAGACCTTCCTCAACATTTGTCACCTTGTATTGGTTCTCAGTCACTGGGCTTCTGTTTACCTTTGTCCATAAGATACTGCTATGATCCTTGTTTTCAATATGATAACCAATAATAGGGCTTCCACCGTCACTGTCTGGTTTGTCCCAAGCAACGATCATTACAGACTTTGATGCCTGGACAACATGAATATTAATGGGTGGACCAGGTGGTTTGAAAGGGTACTGGGCAATGACTGTTTCTGTTTCAATAAACTGGCTCTTTCCATAGCGATTCTCAGCAGCAACTCTGAATTGATATTCAGTGCCTTGTGTCAGACGGGAAACTTTGATTGAAGATCTTGCGACTGTAGATGACACAGTTTGCCATACTGAACTGTCCATGTCTCTTTTCTCAACAACATAGTTAGTTATTTGACACCCACCAGTGTAAGTAGGGGGTTGCCATGACAGAGATACAAAGTCAGCACTAACTTCTTCTACACTGAGATCACTTGGTGGTCCAGGCCTTTCAAAGACATTAACAAAAATGTCCGCTGATGTTGTTCCCACGGCATTAGTCAGGATTACCTCATAAGCACCAGCATCCAACCTAGTTGCATCCTTAATACATAACTGAGATGCAGATTCAGCTGATTGTACATTTACTCTGCTCGTTTCCTTCAACATGCTTCCCTCTTTATTCCAGACTATTGATGGTGGTGGCATCCCTTTGAAAGGAACATCAATCTTCAAATCGTTTCCTACCTTTACATTAAATGTGTTGGCCAGCAGACTGATAACAGGCTTAGCACTAGTGTCTTTCACTGTAACAGGCGTCAACAAGGGTTTTGGTTCACTTAATCCTTTATCATTCACAGCACTCACTCTGAAGAAATACTCCTTTTCAGGTGTCAGCCCATTAACTGTCACTTCCAGTGCCTTACTCTCTGAATATTTTATCCATGTATCATCTCCCTCGGTTTGCATTTCGACAATGTAACATGTGATTTTGCTTCCTCCATCATGATCAGGCTTTTCCCACGAGAGTCTTACACTACTGCGAGTGACATTGCTCAGTGTGATTTTGCCAGGAGGTGGAGGAGCCTCAGACAGTTTAACAGCCTCAGCAGTCTCTGCTGGCTGTCCAATGCCAAACTCATTAACTGCAAGAACACGAAAATAATAAAAGCTTCCTTCCTGTAAATTGTCGATCTTGTAGGAATTCCTTTCACAGTTGCTGCAAACACTGGTAAATGCCTTTCTAGCCTCCTCTCTCTTTTCAACAATGTAGTGTGAAATGTTTGCTCCTCCGTCAATAAGGGGTGGCTCCCAGTAGATGGTGACAGAGTTTCTCTTTACATCCTTTACTTCCAAATTCATTGGTGCACTTGGAGAGTCCAGTACTCTCACATTGATAAATGCTGATTTGGAACCGCTAGAATTCTCCGCAGTCAACATATACTTTCCACTGTCATTTCTGTTGACATTTTCTATTACTAACACAGTGTAGGAGTTTGCAACCTCAATTTGAGGGCGCTCACCAAGAGTGCCATCATCTTTGGACCATCTAACCTCAGGCTCTGGGCATCCCCTAAAGGTAACGAAAAGACGTATGGTGCCACAGGCTCGAACATTTACTATCTTTCTCAAGGATGGGTCTAGTTCGATCTCTGGTGCCTCAGCTTTTTCTGTCGGTACTACAGAAGCAGGTAAATCCACATATTCTCCAACTCCATTTGAATTTACAGCACAAATACGAAAGTTGTACTCTGAATTTTCTTTTAGTCCCTTTACAGTGTAGTTTGTTTCCTTTGTGCCTGTGCTTGGTGTGCATGGAATCCATTCATCCGCTGCAACTTCCTTCATTTCCACAACATATCCATTGATAGCATCTCCACCATCATAAATTGGTTTTGACCAGGTGAGAGACACTGTATTGCTGGAATAATCCGTTACTTTTGGGTTGGAAGGTGGACCAGGGGGGTATGTAGCTTCACATACCTTTACATACTCGCTAGACTCACTGGGTGCACCCACACCAGCAGCATTTTCTGCAAGAACTCTAAATTGATAGCAATGTCCCTCTGTAAGCCCAGTGCATCTGAAACGCAAGTCGTTTAGCCTTCTTTTGTTGCATTTGGTCCATCGGACACCATCTTTGTCACGTTTTTCCAGGATGTAGCCATCGATCTCAGAGCCTCCATCACTCTCGGGTCTTTCCCATGTTAGCACAACTGAGTCTCCAGTCACAGCACTAGCTATAGGAGCGGAAGGCGCACTAGGTGGCTTAAAGGGATTTTGGGCAATAAAAGGCTCCGATTCCAGAAATTCACCCACCCCATATTTATTTACAGCAGCTACTCTGAATATATATTCTTTTCCTGATACCAGTTTTGTCACTTTGTAACTTATAGCTTCAATATGAGGTTCAACCTCTGTCCATGTAACACGACTGGTTTCCCTTTTTTCAATGATGTAATGGGTGACACCGGCACCTCCGTCATTTAAAGGAGGGTTCCAGTTAAGGTTGCATTTCTCTGCACTCACAACCTTCACCTTCAGTGGCCCATTGGGAGGACCAGGTCTATCTAAGACCTTCACATTAACTGAAATGGTTGTAGTTCCACCACTATTACTGAGACTCAGTACATAACGCCCTCCGTCCATACGTGTGCAGTCTCTAGCAGTGAGGGTTGTGTGGGTGATGGTGTTTTTGAGCTCCATTCTTGCTGTACCCTTATGTATTTCTTTTCCATCTTTCAGCCATGTAACTTTTGGGAGAGGCTTACCAAAGTAATCAGCCTCAATGACAAATGTTTCCCCAGCTTGGACAACAGAAGTACTCTTATATTTGGGATCAATAAATGCAGTGGGTGCTTCAATAACATCTTGAGCTAGAATGGTTATGCTTTCTGAGGGTACGCTCCAAACACCTGCACTATTCTTAGCAGTTACCCTAAACTCATAGTTTTGCCCTCCTGTTAGTCCTGAAACTGTGAAAAGATTGTCAGTAACATTGGTAAAGTTCGCCTTCATCCATCTGCCATCTGGGAGCTCCTTTTTTTCAACTACATACCCTGTAATAGTGCTTCCACCATCATACTCAGGTTTTGCCCACTGAAGTGTGATGCTGTCTCTGGTCACCACGATGGCCTCAGGTTTTCCAGGTGGATCACATGGATCTCTTGCCATATAACAGTCCGACACATTACTGCATGGGCTCAGTCCGGCAATATTTTCAGCAAAGACTCTGAACTCGTACTCAATACCTTCTTCTAGCCCACTTGCTTTGAAGCGAGTGTCAGGTAAAACCAACTTGTTCAGCTTAGTCCACAAAATGCTGTTCTTCTCTTTACGTTCAATGTGATAGCCAGTGATTGGGCTGCCTCCGTCTCTACGGGGTGGATCCCATTCAACCACCATGCTATACTTTGTCACAGTGGACACAAAGGGAGTGCCAGGACAAGCAGGAACACTGAATGGATATTTTGCCATCACAATCTGAGAGGTAATTGTTGCACTTTTTCCATATCTGTTTTCAGCAGACACCCTGAATTGGTATTCATTTCCTGTCTTCAGTTTAGTTACTTTGATTGTGGTTCTTACTGTTGTTGCAGACACAGTATGCCACTCTGTGCTTGTAGTTTCCCGTTTCTCCACTACATAATTGTCCAACTGGCAACCTCCTGTATATGAAGGTGGATCCCAGGACATAATTACATAGTCAGAATTAACCTCATCAATTCTCACGGGCCCAGTGGGTGGGTCAGGTTTTTCAAGAACAACCACGGTGATGTCTGTTGTGTCCTTTCCTGCACTATTGCTTGCAGTGACTGAGTACTGACCAGAGTGTTCCCTGGCAGCATGTCGGATATGAAGAATGGCTAATGAAGCTTTATTTAAGATCTCTAGTCTTGATGTCTCCTTAACTGCCTGACCTTCTTTTTTCCATTCAATCTTCGGAGTAGGGTGCCCAACCACTTGGATCTCTACTCTTAAATTTTCACCATTCTTGACTGTGAATGTGTTAAAAGTTAGCTGAAGTTTTGGCTGTGTGGTGTTTTCCTTGTTTGTTTCAGAGGCAGTTGTGAACTGAGGCCTGTTTTCTTCACTCTCAGCCAATGGAAAATGTTGACCTGAAATGAGCAAAAATAAACATTAATAACAGTCTAGCGCTGTAAGAAAAATGTGTACAAGCATTTATAAATACACTCAAAAAACCTGCGAACTGAATTAATGCGTAATGTACAGACACTATGTTTGTACACTTGAGATGGGGGACAGTCAGAACTGCAATAAAGATATATTGTGGCTCTTAGAAGCTGGCATGATAGAATGTTAGACTTTTGGCTGTTTTTATTTTGTCTATTTTTTTATTTCACTTTTAAACCATTTCTATTATAATTAGTCCATACATAAGAATGTGGCTTTCTTTCAACTTACCTAAATCTTTTTTAACCTCTTGATTCATACCTTTGAGATTATTTCAACCCTTTGTTACTTCTCCACAAGGTATGGCTTTCACTACAGGATAAACTATACGAGCAAATGTCTTGAAAATTCCAGCTAAAATGTAACGTTATTCATCCAACTGAATATGAATGGAAGCAACCCTTAAACTCAGCTGGACTAAATGTTAAACATCTATCAAAAGGTGTAAAACAGCTCAGACTAGGTTCTCTAGCTTGTTTTATTATTTTTCCTCTTCTGCTAGATTAGATTGTTTTATATGTACAATATATATATTGTTAGGAATCCAGTTTGTGTGGGTTGTGTTTTTGTTTGCCTTCCCTCCTCCACCAGGCGGCGCCTGGTTCTGGTTGGCCTCCTCTCACACCTGCAGATGGTTACCTCATTAACGGAAGACTCTTAAGCTGCTGACTGCCACAACCTCGACGCCAGAGTGTTTGCCAGTTTTGGGAAGTCATCCTGCAAACTGGATGTTTCGGATCTACTCCCCCCTGGAAGGATTCTCTGAGCACCAAACTAAGCTGAGGATTCAAGTTTGTGGTTTGGATCAACTTTTCCCCTCAAGGATTGTTTTGGGATTCTCGCTGAGCAGGGGATTCATCTCCACTATAACCCGTTCAAGTACCGCAGGAAAACTAAGTGGCAGTCAGCTTCTCCATTCACCAAGGAACAACAGCAATCTGGGTAAACCCTGTCTGCCCTCCAACGAACAACCAATAAGATTCAATAAGAAACACCTTTTTCTGGAAACGTGAGTCTGCAACTTAATTCCTCTTTTTCAAGTCAAAGACACAAACTTCCCACATAAACTTCCCACTGAGCCTGAACTAACCGCAGTATCTTCCACTTCACTTTCAAGTTACGGTTCGACAGTGTTCAGAATAGCACTGGACTCATCTCATTCATTCAAAATAAAACCTGTTAAACTTTTCCCTCGTCTCTCTGTTTGGTCTTCTGCATGTGGGTCAGAGAACTAGATAAAATCATGACATATATATATATATATATATATATATATATATATACA